CCTCACCAAAACACTGTCCTTTGGCCTCCACCTCATTACTTTCTAAAGATACAGAATATACATTCCATGTTTTGCAGGTTGAAAATTGATTAAAAATACCATATGCAGATAAATATACACTGTTACTCCTCCCAATTTGTATTCACTTAACCTTTCTCTGAAAATACTGAAGAGAGAGAGAGAGCATCAATGACACTTTGTCCTTTTAAAAACATGTCAGGGCACAATAAAATTGTAAAATAGTTAATTTTTCAATTTCCTTCCCAAGTGAAAACACAGAGAATTCCCCCCCTCCCCCACCCTCCCTCACCCGCATTGGTAAGTGACTAATGGGACAAGGTGTGGGGAGTCACCTGACCACCGACAGCTACCTCATTCACTGAGCAAGAGGACATTCACCACCACCTGCCTCTACACCAACAGTAACCAGGATCAGCCACATCGCCTATTAGTGTCATGGGAATCGTTTTTCATTTTGTATATGTGTGCGTGTAATTACCTAAGTGTAGTTAAAGGTATATGAGCTACGCTTGTGGTGTCTTCCCAGCACAATTTGTCATACAGTATAATGCTTTGAAACTACTGATGCTTCTGGCCTTCACCTTCACCTCACCTAACTTGTTCCAACCGTCTACCACTACTGTATTACTCTTGTTAATGATACAGGTCTATAATTGAGGGGGTCTTCCCTACTGCCACTTTTGTAGATTGGAACTATGTTAGCCTTTTTCCATACATCTTCTAGGGCTCCTGAACACAGTGTGTGTGTTTACTAACCTAGTTGTGCTTGTGAGGGTTGAGCTCTGGCTCTTTGGTCCTGCCTTTCAACTGTCAATCAACTGGTGTACAGATTCCTGAACCTACTGGGCTATCATATCTACATTTGAAACTCTGTATGGAGTCAGCCTCCCACATCACTTCCTAGTGCATTAGATTTACTAACTACTGACACTGAAAAAATTCTTTCTACTGTCTCTGTGGGAGAAAATGGGCATAATTTGAAAATTAAAAAAAAGGGGTACTAAGTTTCCACCTGTGTCCCCTTGTTCGTGTTCCACCCGTGCTGAAAAGTTTGTCTTTGTCCACCCTGTCAATTCCCCTTAGAATTTTGTTGGTAGTTATCATGTCTCCCCCTTACTCTTCTGTTTTCCAGGGACGTGAGGTTCAGCTCCTTCAGCCTTTCCTCGTAGCTCATACCTCTCAGTTCCGGGACGAGCCTGGTGGCATACCGCTGAATCTTCGCTAACTTTGTCTTGTGTTTAACTAAATATGTACTCCAGACAGGAGCTGCATATTCCAGGATTGGTCTAACATAAGTGGTATACAGGGTCCTGAATGATTGTGTGTGTGTGTGTGTGTGTGTGTGTGTGTGTGTGAGAGAGAGAGAGAGAGAACGGGGGCGGGGTGTTTCAAACGTGGGTTGGACATGTATATGAGTGGGATTGGGTAGTTATAAATAGGAGCTGCCCCGTATGGGCCAATAGGCCTTCTGCAGTTACCTTTGTTCTTATGTTCTTTACCCCCCCATTTTTGGAGGACGAGCTGGTGTAAACCCTCTCCCCTGTACATTACTCTTATGTTCTTTGTACACGAATTCTTCTGAATGAAGTTAAATATTATTAATTTCATGTCTGCTACATCTTATCAACTTCATTGATACGGGGCGTCATACAACTACTGCACATTACAATTTTGGTCTTGCAAAGGTCGTGAAGAATTTCTTTAATGTTTCGCCATTCATGTATTTAAAAGCGGTTCTGAAGTTGGAAAAGTAACCAACGCTCCACTCTCGGTGTTGTTTATGTGAGCCTCAGGTAAGTGACAGTTTTCTATCCAGAACCACCCCTAGAGATCTCTTATCAGAATTCTTAGAGTTTACACATAACTTGTAAATTGTGTGGGGCCTATTTTCTCGCATTCCACATTCCATAACAGGCATTTAATCACATTAAATTTCTCTTGTCATGTGTTGCTCCATACACTTAACCCTTGGCAGTTGTCGAGTTACTATCTTCCTTATAGTAGCCTAGTATCATCGGCAGGCATTCATATAATTTTGTATTCCTTGTAGATTGTTTATATAGACAAATTAAGGCAATGAACATTAATGGTGCTAGAATTTAACCCTGTGGTACTCCACTATAGTAATATTTCTCCAGTCTGATACATTGCCTGTGCATGATTACCGCTCTTACTTTTGTCAGACAGATTTTCATTTATATCAGAAGTTACCCCTCCAATATGTTCGTTTCCAGAACAACTTCATATGTGAGATATTGTTGTTGTTATAGATTCAGCTACTCGGAACAAGTTCCAAATAGCACGGGCTATGGTGAGCCCGTAGTGGACTTACCTAGCACAGGAGCGGTGCTGTGTTCATTTGTAGGACTCTTTCCTAAAAATCTTTGCGCATGTGCGCGCGTATAGTATCATTTCAAATACAATGTGTAAAAATAGTCCCAAAATAACGAACTTTGTCACTGTCCCAAACGCTTAAAGGTCGTGCTGTACATTCTTTCCTAATTTCTTACACCCCCCCCCCTCCATCCCAAATATCCCCATTATCGCTATAAGTCTTTTCCTTCCGTACACAGATTTCCTTGTTGCTCCCACATGCTGGCCTCACTAGGTTAGGTGAAGAAATGCACCTTTGAGAATTCTGTCACTTTCACTTCTGTATTTTCCTACCTTATCTCTCCGATGCCACTTTCGTCAGTTCGGAAAGCTTTGGCTTGTAAAAGTTCTTTACTCAAAAGGGGATATATTTCTTAATCGATAATCTGTAAAGGGGTCGTTTACCATTAGTTACACGAGACACACATTTATCTTATAAATTTTTGGGTTTGCGGTGTTTTTGCACTTTACAATTTGCTCTTATTGACGCTCACAGCTTCGACTGATCTGCCGTACCTGTCTTCAGGCAAGACTTGTTAAAGCTGCGGCCGTCTCCAATAGACGCATTCATAAATTTTTATATACAGTATTGTGCATAAAAATAAGTTTATTCTCGTATATAAATTAATATTATTATATATTAAAGTACTACTTATAGTTAGGCATTGCTTAGGTTAGACTAGATGTGTAGATTCTGTAGGCGATTATTTGTATTTGAAGTACGTAGGTGAAGAATTTGAATTTTGATTTTTTTTTGAAGTATCTAGCAGGGAGGGGCCGGCACCGCCCCTCCCTCATTCTCTATGGCCGCGATAAGCGCACACAGCCCATCCTCCTCCCGGGAACGCTTCCTCAAGTGCACTTTCGCGCGAGTAATACTTTTTTCTTGTAGCTAGCATTAAGAGAGGGTTAGTACTTACTACTACTACTACTACTCGTACTACTATGAGAGTGCATCCTACTCTCCTTAGTAGGGTACTATTTTACTTCTCCTTTATGTTCACATGTCCAGTGCCGTTTCCTTGTATACCTTTGTCAGCCTTGTACTCGGCTCTCTTTACATGGTTATTATGTTGTTTTATTTGGGAGGTGCTCCGCTGGGAATTCTCATTATCTGCTGATGTAGACCTGACCAAATGTAAACTGTGTCAACAAAATTATTCGCACACCCTCCGTCACTATGTGATGGAGTGTGAAAAGATACGTGAATTCAGAGACAATTCTATAACCAATTTTCCAGCAATGTGTAAATATTTCATTCAAAATGATCTGCTACCAGAAATATTAGCCAAATATCCCCAGTTTGGTAACTGTAGGTAGTAACTAAGTGATTGTAACCTATCCATCGCTGCCCACTGGATGGGGGGCGGTGTGCAGGACAAACATATCAATTGTAACACTAGCTCTCCACATATGTCAGTTGCTTAATTTAGAAACTGTACTTGAGGTCGATCTCGAACCCATTGATGATGTGACGACTTATACTTAATTTTGTAACTAGCTCATCAAGATTGTAACTAAATGAATTGTGGGGTTCAGTCCCTGAGCCCATTATGTGCCTCTGTAACCCTTTCCACTACCACCCACAAGATGGGTATGGGGTGCATAATAAATGCACTAAACTAACTGCTCCGCCGGAACCCCCCAGAGTAATATGTTACACTTATGGCAGTAGACGTAGTTGCATAGCTTAGTTAAAATACCTTAACTCATCGAGCACGTATTATACAAGCCAATGTTTAAGGTTTATAAGGTTTAAATTTACTCTGCACAAATATGAGTTATGGGAAAGCTGAACGTTTGATAAGTACATGCAAATCAACTAAGCATATCCTAAGCCATAGTCGCCTTGAAGTTTATTGAAATGCACACTACCTTTCTTTGCGTTGATTGCTGCAATTGTTTTGTTTACTTTCCGCTTAAGGTCTTCCACAGGGTTCCTCGTGATTCGTTGAAATTTGGTGTCATCACTAAGGATGTCGCTAATTTTGTTCATGTATTCTTGGGTTGGAATCAACACATATGCGGCTGTCTTGTCGGCTTTTCTTATTGTTACATCTTCCAGATTTGTTAGTTGTTTTGCTGCTTCTTTGAGTCGTGGGATTAAGATTGTAGATGAATATGTTCCTCGTTTTTTCCCGCTTCTGCTAGTAGTTCAGGCTGAAGTGTGTCTGTTGTGATGACTTTTTTGTTGTCTTCTAACTTATGGATGTCGTCCAGAAGCATTTCGATTTCAAGGCGTTTTTGAAGCTACTTAGGTCTTGACATGAATTGGCAGTTTAGGTCAAGATTCAAGAGATCTAAGATCATGTGTAGTTAGGTTTATGCAGCCATCATAATTATATATATATATATATATATATATATATATATATATATATATATATATATATATATATATATATATATATATATATATATATATATATATATATTAATATTAGTCTCTCTTTCTCATATATTAATATTAGTCTCTCTCTTTCTCTATCTTTCTAGCTTTATCTCTCTCTCTCACTTTCTCTTCATCTCTCTTTTTCTCTCGCGCTTTCTCTTTCTCTGTCTCTCTCACATATAATAATTTTGAAGTATAAAACTACATTCGGTAACTCGATCGGGCTCCCCACAGCCCTAAGGCATGTGTGTGCAGCTTGAAAACGAACTGTACTCATTCTGTACACATCCTGCTCAGTGACTTCCCCAACACCGCCGGAGGAGGCTGCCGACGTATCTCTCAACATATTCGACACTTCATAGGACTCTTCAGTAGGTGGCACGTCATGGTTTTAAACACAATTACCGAGATTAGGACATATACATTTGAAATTGAAATAACTTTATTGAGGTAAAATACACACAAAGGGATGAGGTAGCTCAAGCTATTTTCACCCCGTTTATACATTTGAAGTCTCGAATACCTAGGTGAATTAACGTACCACAGTGCTGGTCTTCAATAATAATATCCATTGGGTTGAAAAAACTTTTGAAATGGTGACCTTTTCTTTTCAAGGATAATCGTGGGGGGACTCTAAGCCATGCATGGCTGGCCCACTACACTGTTATTTATTTCTCTCCTATTTAGGTGATGGCTAGACTATCATTAAGACTTTCATATACTTTATATAAATAATACACGATATATGGAGTGTGCTATAACTTTTAATTTTTCTTTAAAGGTTAAGCCCTAATCCAAATTGTGTGAAGATATTAGAGCGCCTTTTTTTCAGATATCTGAAAAACATATATAACCTTAATCTGTGTAAATGAAGAATATTCAGTTATGAAAAATTAATAAGTTGAATGGTTCTGCACACCTCAATGGACTAGTAAAATATAATAGATACTATATCACATTGGGATGACAAACGAGAATTTATATATATTGTTAAAACCCCATTTTACAAGAAAAATCGAATTGACTGAAGTCAAATCACAGACATTCAAGGGCCAGAAAGAATATAAAAGCTATAATATCTTCACATCTGTGAGCTAAGTGTACACGGAGCACATATGGCGTTTACCATTAATGTGACAAAACCAGTGGAAATAGTCTGGGATATCGTTACTTAATGCATATACGACAGCTATATAATAACAGTTGGCATGTGTGCTAAATAGCAGCAAAACAAATTAAAAAGTTGAGAAATTAACTTGTATAACGTTGAATTAATGTTACTCTTAGATATTTTACCCAGAGGGTAGCAACACAGACTGACTACTGCCTACCACTAGCAACACAGCCTACTGTTAGCCTCTAACACAATATCCCAGGCCCTGTGACCACTGTTAACATCTAGTACTATAACCTAGGCATACCGTTGGCCTCTTAGCACCAAAATCTATGTGTACTGTTAGCCTCTATAGCACTATTTAAGCCTATACAAGGTCAACAATAATTACTGCTGTATATTATTATTTACCTCTAGCACAATAGCCTAGTCTTCTATATTAGCCTCAACAATATAGCAATGGCTACTGTATGTTAGCCTCTAGCAACATAGTTTATTATTTTCACTTTTAAAGAAACAAATTTCATATCACTATTTTCCACAGTATGTATTCATCCGTATTGGATTCATTGATTGTTGCCGCCGAAGGCGGCTAGTTTATTGTGCACCCCATACTCATCCTGTGAGCGGTAGCGCAAAAGCATTACAGATGGCACAAAAGGTCTTTATCAGACCTCATCTTAGATTATTACATAAACAATTTCATCTATCCTTCACACCTTATAGTTACAATGTCAGCTAGTGGATTAAATTTGATTATCCTGTAGTTAAAAAGCAAAAAATTAAGACGAACCTATTACACGTGACGACGTTCCTTCCCCCGACACTACAGACAGTATATTATTGCAGTTTATTATTGCATTTCTCTTTGTCACTCCGTCGCTGTCGACAGCAAACGTTGTGTGTGTAATGGCTGGCGGTTGTGTTCCGGAAGGTTCTCTTGCCCCCCAGAACGATCGCGACGGTTGGCTGGCTCGGACGCGTTGTAACCTGATAACGTTTTACGATTATAATGTTTGTTTTCTTTGAATAACCGAACTATAACAATATATTTATTTTGTTACAGATATACAATAAGTCAAGTATGATGGCCCGGTTATATTTGTTGAATATGCAGTATTTATTATTGGTGTGAGTACGTATAATTAGCGCTCAAATATCCATGGTTGTCTAATGTTTTATGATTTTATATAATAATAAAAATTTATTTATGCAAAAATACACGGGGGGTATGATTAGAGTATACATTTCATGTGCAGATATGTATTGGCTATCCTGTATCCAAATTACATTCAGTGTTTTGCCAAGATTACTCAAGATCACTGTATACATAATATACAATATCACTATATAAGCAGCACTTAGTGGGCCAGCCAGAGGCTTAGGGCCCGCGCAGGAATATTCCTGAAAAAAACCTATATAATCAAGACCGCAATCTGCGTAGCGCAGATCTTTGTAGATTACACCATAACAGCGCGCATGTATTGTATCTGGCATATAAATTGTCATCCACACTTCCGCGGAAATAAACATTCCATTCACCTGTGCTCTTGGAGACTCGAACCCTGGACCCCCATATGTGTGTGAGGCCTATAAGCTCTATCGAAGCTGTACCTGTCATCTCTTGTGGTCGGTCACGAGCCCATTGTTCATGTGAAATTTTTCAAGACTGTAAGTTGCTTAGCTAAATGAATTGTGGGGTTCAGTCCCTGAGCCCATTATGTGCCTCTGTAACCCTTTCCACTACCCCCCCCCCCCACAAGATGGGTATGGGGGATAAATGAACTAAAACGTGCGTTGGAAAGTAAACATATACGATTAAAACCACATGAATCGTTCACCAACGTTACAGTTCGAGTCCAGTACAAACATGTGCTACATTTCAAAGCTTTACGTACTGAACCTCGTCAGGATGCATCCCGACAACAAGGTGACTTGTTTGGGGGTTGCATCCTGGGGAAGGTTCCCAGGTTTCCCCACAACTCTTGGGTTCCTATTTACTGCTAGGTGGACAGGAGCATGAGGTGATTGGAAACGCGCCCAAGATCTATTAGACTGCATTTGCAAAATCTGCGTTAAATATCTTCAATCACAGTACAATAGTATTTTAAATATCTGAAAAATCATAATTTTAATTTTTGAACATAATATGTCGAATATATATCAACCTTTAATCATAAGATAAATATATCTAATGATTTCATGCGAACTGGTAACAGTCAGCTGATAATGGTTGCGTGTGAAAGTTACAAAACGTTGTGAACCTGGGTTTATTTGGAAGCGTGACTATCTTTGCCAGACGTACGATTCTACATATACAGTATATATATGTGCAAATGCGACATTATTATATCTTAACGTTGTTATTTTTGTCATAGTAAACGTTTTGAAAGCTAATAGGTTAACAGAGGTTAATTGTAGCGAGGCATATTCAAAGAAAAGTACAGCAAACCTCCACCAAGGAAAATATTTCCCGGCAGCAAGACTGATTCTCCAAACGTTGGTGGGAGTTGATATGAGCGGCGGCACTGATGCGCGCCTCCGTGGAGACTACGTGCGCCCTCCTCTACGTCAGTATTACTGCTACGTTTGTACATACAGTCATATAGTCTTTAGTTGTGCACACACCAGCGAGTGTTGAACAGTTTTACCGAGTGTGAAAGAAAATTAACCTAAATAACTAAAATCAACAAGCTAATACGTGGAATTTGTTACAGTTGTGGAACGTGCTGCTCAACAACCCTCTGATTTGCTGCAGCAGTTAGCGATTCACAATTTAACGGCTGTCGATGTGTTTGGATTGGCCCCGAGTGGCGGAATGAGCTTAAGCGGACACCTGCCTACTCAGCCTGTGGATTTCACTGCTGCTCTGCCACTAGCAGTTAAACCGATCAAGCAGGAACCGCTGCAAGTCGCTCGCGGTCCTGTGACGCAAGTTAAACAAGAGCCGTCACGAGTTGCTCTGTTTATGACGCAGGTGAAACGGGAACCATCACAAGTAGTTCTTCCTATGGCGCAGGTGAAACAGGAGCCCTTACAAGTCCCATCAGGTATAGAACATTTCACCACGTTGCTCTCGCATTCGGCAAACCTGTCGCTAGCCAATAGTGAGAGAGGTGAAGGAACCTCTGGTTCTGCTCAAGAACAAACCACCTCATACAGCGTCAGCCATAGACGACCCAGAATGGAGACACAGGGAACTCAAACGCCGAGGATGGAGACGCTGGGAACTCAAACGCCGAGGATGGAGACGCAGGGAACTCTGACACCATCATTCTCCGGTCCTACTCTGGCTTCCGGTGGCTCGTTGGTTTTGGGTTCACCAGAGGGGGCTATGTACCTCTCAGGTCAGTCGATCCCAGTGGCTCTGGTGTCTGCTGGTACCCTTCCAGCTGCCATGGCTCACAGCACACCGTTGCAACTTCTGCAGGAGAGGGAGCAACTGAGGCGAGAAAACGAGGCTCTCCAATCTCGCGTCTTCCAGTTCCAACAACTATTCAGAGACAAGCAAAAGTTGACTTTGGTGCTCAACAAGATGGGCATCTCCGCTAGTTTGTGACGTACCTTGCCATCCTCACCCTCCCCTCCATACTTTCCCTGCTAATACTATAAAAGTATATGGTGGACCCATGTCACCATGACAATTTATCTGTAGTCGCCGGGAATTACTGGCTAGGAAATCCTTACTAAACCCGATATTTAGGTTTTAGGCCCGGATGTTCTGTAGTAAGTTAAGTAGTGTTCCAGGCATGGTGTTTTTTTATAATTACTTGGGTATTAGGCCTATCGACTGCAAGGATAAACAAAACTTTAATCTACATTATTTTCAATGACAATAGTGGTAGCGGCCAGTGAATCAAGACTTAATTTGATAGGCTTACCATTGTGCTATCCATGTTGAGGAAGTAATAATGTAAGTATTTATAACAACCTATTACAAACTACTGTCCAAATTAGACCTAAAAGCTGCTTAGAATACTTGGCCCAAGTAATGTCTCGCGTGGAGCTGTTAGTTGCCAGGTTTTGTTAATACTAGAAGCTTAATGTAAATAGCAATTGGTGCGCTTATCACCGATCAGTTACTGTTGCACCCTCAATACACATTTATTCAATTCCATTCATGATTGAAGTATGAAAACTTTGTATACCCACTTGAGAAATTAATCTCAACATATATAATATTTTAGAGAACCATTGTTAATTAATTATAATATTACTCGCACTGTACAGTTTAACTAGGCATTTTTGTTGATATTAGCATGAAAAATGTGAAAATAGCCAGGAAGCAAATTTTGTTGTATGTAATTTGGGAAATATTTTGAAAACCTTCAATAAATTTAAAGACGGATTTTGTTTATTTTACCCACATATAGTAAGCAAATTTATGATTGAAATCGATATGATCCCTAATAAATTGTATTCAGGACATTACAACAGTTTCTTTGTGTATGGTCACTACAGTAAAAACCCAAAGTATTTTGAAAAGTGTGGAGGGGAAAGCAATATTTTAATGTAAATTAATAATTCTAAAATACTGGGTATCTCTGTCCTGTACTCACCTAGTTGTGCTCGCGGGGGTTAAGCTTTGGCTCTTTGGTTCCGCCTCTCAACAGTCAATCAACTGGTGTACAAATTTCTGAGCCTATTAGGCTCTATCATATCTACATTTGAAACTGTGTATTAGAGTCTTCCTCCACCACATAACTGCCTCGTGCATTCCATTTGTTAACTACTCCGACACTAAAAAAGTTCTTTTTAATATATCTATGGCTCAAATAGAACAAAACATAGAGCCATATCTCTATGGCTCAAATTAAACAAAAACGTTCACCGCCTCAAAAGGGAAGACGCCTACTCCAAACCAGACAGCAGCTCACCTAAACCAGGACAACAGCCAACCGCCACCCCATGAGCCTCCTGCCGCAGAATAAGAACTCAAACCAACACCAACCACAAGCTCCAAGCCATGACCAAAACATCATGCCAACTCATCATGGTGGACAGGCCACCGAACTGTCAAGCTTCCTCGTTCCCCATCTAAATCCTCTTTAAGAATTTCATCTCATCCTCCTTCTTTCCCTCAACCTTTCCAAGCCCTGTGGACATTGGACTTCCGGACTATGGCTCATCTGTGTAAGCTGGGGCGAACAGGTGTTATATAATTACTCTGGTTTAGAGCTTTTCTTTTGTTAATTATTTGTTGGTGAACAGTTCCAACACTTCGCCCCCGTGTTCTATAGTTCCAGTACGTCGCCCAGGTGCAGCTGTGCACCGGTCCAACACGTCGCCCAGGTGCAGCTGTGCACCGGTCCAACACGTCGCCCAGGTGCAGCTGTGCACCGGTCCAACACGTCACCCAGGTGCAGCTGTGCACCGGTCCAACACGTCGCCCAGGTGCAGCTGTGCACCGGTCCAACACGTCGCCCAGGTGCAGCTGTGCACCGGTCCAACACGTCGCCCAGGTGCAGCTGTGCACCGGTCCATCACGTCACCCATGTGCAGCTGTGCACCGGTCCAACACGTCGCCCAGGTGCAGCTGTGCACCGGTCCAACACGTCGCCCAGGTGCAGCTGTGCACCGGTCCAACACGTCGCCCAGGTGCAGCTGTGCACCGGTCCAACACGTCGCCCAGGTGCAGCTGTGCACCGGTCCATCACGTCACCCAGGTGCAGCTGTGCACCGGTCCAACACGTCGCCCAGGTGCAGCTGTGCACCGGTCCAACACGTCGCCCAGGTGCAGCTGTGCACCGGTCCAACACGTCGCCCAGGTGCAGCTGTGCACCGGTCCAACACGTCGCCCAGGTGCAGCTGTGCACCGGTCCAACACGTCACCCAGATGCAGCTGTGCACCGGTCCAACACGTCACCCAGGTGCAGCTGTGCACCGGTCCAACACGTCACCCAGGTGCAGCTGTGCACCGGTCCAACACGTCACCCAGATGCAGCTGTGCACCGGTCCAACACGTCACCCAGGTGCAGCTGTGCACCGGTCCAACACGTCGCCCAGGTGCAGCTGTGCACCGGTCCAACACGTCACCCAGGTGCAGCTGTGCACCGGTCCAACACGTCACCCAGGTGCAGCTGTGCACCGGTCCAACACGTCGCCCAGGTGCGTGCACCGGTCCAACACGTCACCCAGGTGCAGCTGTGCACCGGTCCAACACGTCGCCCAGGTGCAGCTGTGCACCGGTCCATCACGTCACCCAGGTGCAGCTGTGCACCGGTCCAACACGTCGCCCAGGTGCAGCTGTGCACCGGTCCAACACGTCGCCCAGGTGCAGCTGTGCACCGGTCCATCACGTCACCCAGGTGCAGCTGTGCACCGGTCCAACACGTCGCCCAGGTGCAGCTGTGCACCGGTCCAACACGTCGCCCAGGTGCAGCTGTGCACCGGTCCAACACGTCGCCCAGGTGCAGCTGTGCACCGGTCCAACACGTCGCCCAGGTGCAGCTGTGCACCGGTCCAACACGTCGCCCAGGTGCAGCTGTGCACCGGTCCAACACGTCGCCCAGATGCAGCTGTGCACCGGTCCAACACGTCACCCAGGTGCAGCTGTGCACCGGTCCAACACGTCACCCAGGTGCAGCTGTGCACCGGTCCAACACGTCACCCAGGTGCAGCTGTGCACCGGTCCAACACGTCGCCCAGGTGCAGCTGTGCACCGGTCCAACACGTCGCCCAGGTGCAGCTGGGTCCAACACGTCGCCCAGGTGCAGCTGTGCACCGGTCCAACACGTCGCCCAGGTGCAGCTGTGCACCGGTCCAACACGTCGCCCAGGTGCAGCTGTGCACCGGTCCAACACGTCACCCAGATGCAGCTGTGCACCGGTCCAACACGTCACCCAGGTGCAGCTGTGCACCGGTCCAACACGTCACCCAGGTGCAGCTGTGCACCGGTCCAACACGTCACCCAGGTGCAGCTGTGCACCGGTCCAACACGTCACCCAGGTGCAGCTGTGCACCGGTCCAACACGTCGCCCAGGTGCAGCTGTGCACCGGTCCAACACGTCGCCCAGGTGCAGCTGTGCACCGGTCCAACACGTCGCCCAGGTGCAGCTGTGCACCGGTCCAACACGTCGCCCAGGTGCAGCTGTGCACCGGTCCAACACGTCGCCCAGGTGCAGCTGTGCACCGGTCCAACACGTCACCCAGATGCAGCTGTGCACCGGTCCAACACGTCACCCAGGTGCAGCTGTGCACCGGTCCAACACGTCACCCAGGTGCAGCTGTGCACCGGTCCAACACGTCACCCAGGTGCAGCTGTGCACCGGTCCAACACGTCACCCAGATGCAGCTGTGCACCGGTCCAACACGTCACCCAGGTGCAGCTGTGCACCGGTCCAACACGTCGCCCAGGTGCAGCTGTGCACCGGTCCAACACGTCACCCAGGTGCAGCTGTGCACCGGTCCAACACGTCACCCAGGTGCAGCTGTGCACCGGTCCAACACGTCGCCCAGGTGCAGCTGTGCACCGGTCCAACACGTCACCCAGGTGCAGCTGTGCACCGGTCCAACACGTCACCCAGGTGCAACTGTGCACCGGTCCAACACGTCGCCCAGGTGCAACTGTGCACCGGTCCAACACGTCGCCCAGGTGCAACTGTGCACCGGTCCAACACGTCGCCCAGGTGCAACTGTGCACCGGTCCAACACGTCACCCAGGTGCAGCTGTGCACCGGTCCAACACGTCGCCCAGGTGCAGCTGTGCACCGGTCCAACACGTCGCCCAGGTGCAGCTGTGCACCGGTCCAACACGTCACCCAGGTGCAGCTGTGCACCGGTCCAACACTCTAGGAACACCGCTGTGTTGCAAGAGTGATTAGCTTCCCTGTAAGTTATTACCGCCACTAATTAAAATCTCTTATTAATTATTAATGCCACTATTAATTAATTACTAATATCACTAATTAATCTCTTCAGAGGTGAAAATAAACGCCAGATCTCCAATAATATTGAAACAAAACAAAAATATTGCCTTGCTGTTGTAATTGACACGTAATGTACTGCAACATCCAGGAAGAGTTGACGTTACAAATTGTGGCGTAACTATTTGTGCTGAAATGTTCTGTCGTTATGACAGAACGTTCACTCAGAGCATCCATTCCTTACCACCGTCCCAAACCAAATCTTTATCCCTTCCATGTGCTATATTGTAATGGCTCGGCGCTTTCTCCTCGACACCGCTCCTGTGTCGGGTAAGTCCACTACGGGCTCACCATAGCACGTGCGACTTGGAACGTTTCGTTCCCAGTAGCTGAATCTTAAACAACAACTTTCTCCTGCTTGTTCTCTTCCCTTCACTCTTAGGATAAACAACATGGCCCAATAAATTAGCGCCTTAGAGTAAAACTAAAGTAAAATATTCTAAACATTTTAAAATGAAATAAATTATTATGAGCTTGAGGAGGGTTCTAAAGAAGGGTACACTAGGCTGGTGCAAGACCAGTGTGCCGATGATGGTGTATATGGTATTTCCTCTTCCCATCATACCCAAGCCTCATGCTGGGGTCCCGTATCTCCCCCCCCCCCCTCCTTCTCCATCATATTCCCCCCGACAGAGGGGGGAATATGATGAGGAAGGAGGGGGGGGGGGAGATACGGGACCATCATATTCATATTCCATACTCCATCATATTCCTGCTCCCCTTCTCCACATGTTTGCAACGCGTCCACCTTCCTGCTGTCTCTACCTGCGTCATCACACCCATCTCCCCCTATCCCTGCCTCTTAACCCATTTCTTCCCTGCCTCCCACACCCATTTTTTCCTTACCTCTCACACCCTATTCTTACCTGTCCACCACACTCTTTTCTTCCTACTTCTAATAACCTTTTCTTCCCTGTCTTTCAAAGCCATTGTTTACCTCCTTCCTGACCTCGTCCTTCCCTCCCTCCCTCCATCTCACCCCCGCCCCCCCCTTCATGTCTTAGACAATACTGTATATGATCATAGTGATTAATTACTCACTATGCTGCTTTATGACTTTCTCTCAGGTAAATAATGTACTGTAATTTTATGTAAACTCAATTATAAATCTATAAACATTTATGAATAAAGTTTTCCAATTGAATTCTTTCCTTAGCATGTCACCACTTGCAAAGGCAACTCTTGGACAAGTGTTCATGCACGTACACAATATTAAATATTTCTTGTAACTGGCATTCCGAGTATTTTCGTGTAAAAAACACTATACACATGACTCTATTATATGCAATAGTCTTGTATATAATAATATTGATTAATATCTCGGAGAAAATACCCATTTTAAATACGCTACATTAACATTGATTAATGCAACTTTGGGGTCGGCCACAGCTAAGGCGGGTTGGCTCGATAAATACTTCACCCACGCGCACTATAATTGTATGCTCTGTACTAGGCTCTAATAACCTAATATAATAACCACACAATCAGTTGGATATATCTAGGTACCTATTTAATAATAAATAAATGATTTAAATAAATAAATAATAATATAGAATGAATAAATACTGGTAAGTGAAGAGAGGTATTAGGTTTTGAAAGGAAACGTACCTAACCATTTGTGTCCCTCCCGGAAATCGAACTGGGGTTCCCCGATTGTGAGAAGAGATTGAACCCAACGATACTACAAGACCCTTAAGAATCTAAAAAAAAAAATGGAGTGAAAATGAAAATATATTGGTCTTCCACATTACCTGAGGAACTTGGAAAATAGAGAAATATATTTAATAATGACCAGACTAAGGCTGGGGCAAACTAGCAGCACACGACTATATATATATACAGGACATACATAAATGAACATTGCATCCACTTTCGTGTTATAGAGAATTAATTGAACATTATCTCCGCCACTGTTTTAAATATGATGGAGAAATGCAAACAAGAACTTATCACTGTCGAGCAAGGGGGGGGGGGGGAAGACCTTTCACTACGAATAAAATATCAGGTAGTCAAAACATTGGCTAAATATCTCCAGTGAATCACATCATTAGGCTATATATGACCTATTCATACAACCTAACCCCACCCGGACGATCATCCATAGAAAACGTAAACCCTGCAACAAAGAGTCACAACGATCAGCTGACGCCATCACAACATCTAGCCCTCACCGCCAATGCTTCGAGTCTGATTGTGAAAACAACCTTCAAGTCATGCCAGAGCATCAGCATTGACGCGCCACAGTGACAGGACTCTTGGTTGAACCTTGACAACGCGTTCACGTCTGAACACCCGGCCTGGAGGCTGTCGGATCACGTGATACAATATTGCCCTTTGGGTCACGAGACTGTTGTTAAGGCATTCCTATACAACGGTCCAGATTACGACGCCTGGCGCACATATCGCCTGGGGTCACAGGGAAGTTGACGGATTTTATACGTTTTCTGGCTGGTTCTTCTGGCTGGGAGACGGTATCCGGCGCCGGCATGGCCGCGTGGTGCCAGGGGTTGGTGGGTCTTGGGGTGGGCTCCTGGTGGGCGGCTGATGCTCCGCCGGAGGGCGGTGACCTTGCAATGATTTTTGGGGCTCAACGTTCCCGCGGCCCGGTCCCCGACCAGGCCACTGGAAGACTGCGTTCTGGCCTATTTGGAATTCTGGCCTATTTGGAACGAGTTTAAGAGTAGCCGTATTTGTTTGCCTTGATTACCCAGTGTTCTCCGTGTACGTACCTAGTTGTGCTTGCGGGGGTTGAGCTTCGGCTCTTTGGTCCCGCCTCTCAACCGGTGTACAAATTCCTGAGGGGTGAGGCAGGTGCTTGCCTCCCTGAGGGGTGAGGCAGGTGCTTGCCTCCCTGAGGGGTGAGGCAGGTGCTTGCCTCCCTGAGGGGTGAGGCAGGTGCTTGCCTCCCTGAGGGGTGAGGCAGATGCTTGCCTCCCTGAGGGGTGAGGCAGGTGCTTGCCTCCCTGAGGGGTGAGGCAGGTGCTTGCCTCCCTGAGGGGTGAGGCAGGTGCTTGCCTCCCTGAGGGGTGAGGCAGGTGCTTGCCTCCCTGAGGGGTGAGGCAGGTGCTTGCCTCCCTGAGGGGTGAGGCAGGTGCTTGCCTCCCTGAGGGACTCTTGGGCCTCCCCATATAGTCGTAGTGGCTCGCCGCTTTCTCCCGATATTTCCCTTCCCTTCCCCAGATCTGCCCCTCAGTGCGCCTTTTGCCACAAAGCGCACCAGTCTCCGCAAACAGGCAACGTTCATACAGCCGCACGACTTAACGATTCACCCATCAAGGGTGTGCAAGGGCACCCAGGGCACCGCTGCCGTCAGGGGCCCCGACATCAACAACATTGCGACAGCAGGAAAAAACCTTCACACAATCTGCACGTATCATAAAGGACACACACAAGCAATTGCCAGCCTAACCAAACCAAGCACTAAAGCTAAATTAATCAGACTTACCTATAAATAAAATATTATATAAAATATAAATTCATATGCAAAAATACCGTTTTTAGATGGATACAGATGGTAGAGATAAAATGTAAAACGGTGGCAGCTTGGAGGAGCAGTGCGAGGATGTGGTGGGTGACGCCACTCTGTGGTTAAGAGTTTATAACCATGCATTAAGGAGTCAGCGTCCTTGGGCGGTGAACAATGTCAACTGTGATGAGTCATAAGAAGTGATTATTCTCGTGACGATCTCGTCACATCCGTACTATTATAGAATTGTGTAACGCGTCTTTGTAAATCTACATTAGACAAAAGCGAGACAGATAGTTGTGACCAATCCTGGTGCTCTGTACAGTCTCATGACCTTCCTGGAATGTAATTTGCCAGACAGCCGCGAGGCCTACAACACTTCACCAGTGGAAAAAGGACGTCTTCGTTGTATTCTTAAAGATAAGCCTATAAAGTGTTTGAGTGAGAGATTTCGTAATTATAATAAAGCATTTACATATGAATAACCCAACTCACACATATGAATGAAAGAGACGACGTTTTGGTTCATCTTGGACCCCTTTATAAAGTGTTGACAGCAAGAGTTAATAAAGTTCAGGACGGACCGAAATGTCGTCACTTTCATTTCACTTGAGTGGGTTATGTGTTTCACCCACGTTGTTGTGACTTAGTATTTATAATTACATATATTTGCGAGCCACTCCATTTTCAAATAGCACCTAACCCAAAGTAGCCTAATCTAGTATCATTAACCTAACTAAAATAAACCTAATCTAATTAATTCAGAAACTTTAGAAGTGCTAATAGTTAGGGAGCTCGTCGCGATAGCCTATTCTGTTAGCATGATATCACAATAGCAGCACAATTGTAAGTTTGTAAGAGGTTTATCTACTTAATTTGAATGTTACCGAAATACCAATGGAAATTTTAGCCGACCTTTAGGTCTGTAAACCTTTATGGTAACAAGACTATCAAAAAGCACATTTACGGATTAACTTGCAAAATTAATTTGACTGACTGCGTTGCCTCAGGCTTCGTGTGAGACTTTTGCTCTGTAATTACATATAATCTTCAAACTAAAAGTAAGGTTCGCCGTCATTCTTAAAATATTGTTTAATAGTTAATGCTTAACTGTTCAATTATTAACGAATGTAGAGATAGATAATACACGAACCTGCATGATATGTCATTATATATTGATAATGAAAATAAAATACGCAAATTTCTAAGTAAATATAGTAATGTTGGTTGCAAAAGATATGTTGTACTGATATGATATGATTTTGCACTATGCACTGATAGATATGATATGTTGATTGCACTGTAAATGTACCCAATTAATTCTATTAGTTATTAAATTTCTTTTTGTCACTGTAGACTGGTATTGATCTCTTCATGATGATGGGACACAGTGAAATGTGGTGGTTAAGAAAATGAATAGGGAGCATA